CTAAGGGGTGGAGAGAAGTACATCATCTTCACATCACCGGGTAATTACCTGGGCGAGCTAGGGCTTATCTGGACCTGGGAGGTTGTGGGGAGGGGGAAATATTTGCTTGCTTCTGCCACATCAGGAGAGAGAGAGATGCTGGATGGCTGTTTGTAAGCAATAAATGGGTTTTCAACTTTATTTCTCCTTTGACTTGATTTCGGTTTCAGCTAGGTATTTTGCCCCAGGATTTCCCATCCCCAGATTTACACTTACTGCAGCAAGTTGCATGTGTTTAGGCTGAGTCCTTGGAATACTGCCAGTTTGGCCTAATTCAAAAGTGCATGCTTCCTCCAGTGAGGGCATGCATAAGGTCCACCTCCTTACTGGCCCCCGAGGTGCATTTTAAAGCCCCTTGACATAAGTGACCCCATTTCACTTCACCTTTCACTACATTAAATCTCAAAGTATGGGACAATACTAGGTAGAAATATAGCCAAATGAACTTTGTTTCAAGTCCCAGGTTTTATCTATCAAACCATCTATTCATCAGTATTCTCTTACTACCACACTGTACCTATTAGATGAAATCAAACTTCGATTAACAAGATTAAGAAATGTCAACCCTAATTTGTTTTCAGTGCCTGAACTCTTGATTGACAATTACCCCCAATAGAATGCATATTGATAGTTAACTTGAAATGCTATGACTCACTAAGCATTGAATGAGCATTCAGGAGATGTGGTGGTGAGAAACCACTTTGCAAAGAATTTGCTGGATGATGTTGGGTGAGTCATTTAATCACTCCAGTTCTTAATTTCCTCACTTAAAAATGAGGGACCTGGAGTATTAGATGATTTTCAAGTTTCTCTCTGACTCAAAAAGTCTTTGATTATATTTCTAAATTAACTAGGGTAGACTTCTTAAAATTAACACCATCAATGGAGGGAATTTAATCAAATTTCATTTCTTTCTACGACATAATTGAACATACTGATCCTGAGTGCCATTAAGAGGGCAGTTACAATTACCTGTAAGCTTTTCTACTGATTCAAGTGGAAATGCCAAGGTATTCTTGCTTCTAGTCTGAATTCATCCTTAGTAAAAAAGGACTCTTTTTTGGTAAAATAATTCATTCTTGGGTTAAATTGATGTGGATTAATGGATCATTGTCAGTGAGTGACCTCTTAGGGGTCTCTCCTTGTCCAGTTGACCTTTTCAAACATTTTTAATAGTGACCTGAAGAAAAAATATTTCCCCAATCAAACTTGGGAGAAATACCTAACATGTTAAGACAACAGAATCAGGATTCAAAAAAACATCTCCATGGAGCTTAAAAAATAGGCTAAAGGCAAGAAGACAGAAATTAACAGGGACAAAGGTGAAGTTCCATATTTGGTTCTAAAAACACCAGCTATGGAAATACAGAATGTTAAAGAACTAGTTTGACAAAAGCTGCACCCTCTCTTCTCCCTTCCTCTCTCCCCCACCCCTATCTAGCTCCAGAAAGCCCCACACAATGCTGATGGCTCTGCACAAAATCTTAACATGTACACATGCTGGAGTTGCATTAACAACAGTGATCAGATCAAAGAAACAAAGTTCGCCCTGTACCCTCTACAAATCAAGCCTCACCTGCAAGCAAAGTACTGCTCTAGTTTGGGGCACCGCACTTGCTAAGGGCTGTGAGGAATCCAAAGATCCAAGACACATGTCAAGCTGGACATTCTGCAGGAGGACTTTGAAACTGAGTCACCGGAAGGCTGCTTCAGGGTCTAGGGATCTGGTTTGGAGAGCAGTGAAAGCGGGGAGGACCACCGTCTTTTAGAACAAAGCAAGTGAATGAGAAAGGCCTGCAGAGGCCGGCGCTCTTTGGGGGCGCTGAGGGCCAGGCGGTGGGTCGCGCGCTGATGACGAGGCGTGACGCCTCAGTGGTTGCCGGGGCGCAGCCCGGGGGTTCGGAGGCCGGGAGCTCCTTTGCCCGATGCACCTCTCTTCAGGAGCGGGCGGCTGCGACTGCACCTAGGACGGCCGTTGGGGCCCGGGAACCATGAGCGCAGGGGGCGCGGCCTGCTGCCCCAGGCTGCTGCTGACGCTCGGCTGGCTGCTCCTGGTGGGCCTCCGGGCCGCCTGCGGGGCCAACGACGCCACCGTCCAGCATCCCGGCTTGGTCCGCGAGGGCGCAGGTGCGGACCAGGCCCAGGACGAGGGCGAGACCCAGAGCTTCAGTGAGGTGGACCCCGAGGCCCGGGCTGAGATGGGGCAGGATGGTGAGGGCGGGAGGCGCCCGGTGGGGCTGCGGAGGGGTGGAGGCCAAGCCCTCATCTCTGTCTGAGGCCAGTGAAAATTATCCCTGTTAACACCTGTAGGGCTCCCTGGCAAACAGCCCCAAATTTATACCTAATGGCCTTGAAGAAGGATGTGTTATTGCCAAGGTCACAGCAAGATAAACTAATAGCAGCACATATATAGAAATTACTATGGAAATACTGTTAAATATTGCTCTGGACAAGGAAAAAGATGTTTCTCTTAAAGGGGGTAGGAGTCGGAGAGTAGTTTCCCACCAAGGAGAATTATTTTGACTCCCCCTGCAGTTCTGTTGTTCTTTCCCATTGTAGATTTTTTTGCCTTTTGTAGTTTCAATTTCTTGAGGTCTTCCACCTTTTCACATTTGTACTTTGGGTTGGAATTCAATGGTTAGGAATTCCTCTTACTGCGACACACGTAGATAGACCAATATGCTGGCAAAGCTGCTCGGAAGCCACACGTCAGCTGCATGTTGACATGGAGCAGCGTGTCAGTTAAACTTCCAACCACAGAGAAGCAGTGGCAATTGGAACACCCGTGAAAGGATCTGACTAGTGGCATTGTTGGGTAATTCGTGTTAACCAAGGGAGAAAGAGCCTAGGCTTGGTACATAAATTTGCCTTATTCTGCTGGCTCATTAAGTAATAAAACTCGACAAGTTGATGTACATTATTGTTGGTAACCCACGTTGTTGGTAGGTAAAAGGTCAGGTGTAGGTTTGTGGCCATCTAAAGGAGAATGATTCCTTTCCCCAAAAGGAATGCTGAGATTCTTTTAACATCAGTAGTCTCATGTCTCCTGTACATGTAGTAGGTGCTGTATTTATAAGACTTTATTTCCAATTAACAGTGACCGTTAGCTACAGAAAGCAATTGACTATCTGAGGTTAATGGTGGGTTAGAGGTTTGTACTGCCTCGATTACACTATATTATGGACAGCTTGGAAAGGTCCCTGACTTGATGTGTGAAAAAGAAGACTAGGGAAAAATATGTTCTGAGTAGCTATTGTTTTTAACTCTGGTTTTAAAAGTAACTCAATTGACAATTTTAGTATTAAATTGGCAAAGGGATAGTTCGAGCTGTAAAATGCTAGTATGTGAGTTTAGGCTAAGCCCAGTGATGGAGTTAAAATACCTTAGATTCAAATTCAAATGTTGGCAAGTTATTCTCTCTGTGTCTCAGTTTCCTCATCTGTGAACTTAAGGGAGTCTGTGTACCTTCTGGAATTTTATATATACAATTTCAGGCATTGCTGCTTTTACCTGGGGAGAGAGAGAATCCAGAACTTTAAACAATCTGAGGTGTGTGAAATCTGAAAGCTCCAGAGCCATTATTAAAATACGGCAAAGCACCTCTTAACCCTCAGTGGATGGAAACACAGTCATCACCATTTACTACCAATGGACTCTTTTTGTTTTACTTTTAAGGCATTTTACAAACAATTTACAAAAAAAAGAAAGGGATAGTGAAAATTTATTTGAAAATTTAGTAAGAATTTAAACATGTAAAACCCCAAATTTTTATTCTGTATTTCCTGGTTTTAAGGAAAAACCCTATATGGTCAAGGTACTTTGAATGTTCATTATATTATGCATGAATCAGGACTACAACCCCCTTGTAAATACTGATTCGAGATTTCAAGTACATGTGTAAAGGTTCTAGTTTACCATGGCTCTGGTTCTATTTGCATTTGCATTGTCAAAACATGATACTTTTGAAAACTGAAGGCACACTTTTTCTGAAGAGAAGACTGGTGTGGTGTCCGCTTTGCTCCATATTGCAAAACAGTTTCATTTTAGATTTATAAACACTAATTAGAATGAGTAGTTCCAATGAATTTTTTATCTACATCATCTGTTTTCTTTCAGTCATCTTTGTATATATACCTGTCATCATGATTTGTCTATTTACAAACCTTATCAAGTAGATTCTGGTATAGAAACAATTTAAAAAGGAAAGCATGGTCCACACTATTTTCACAAAATATTTCAGGATCAAATCCTTTCTGTTAAAAGACTAACTGGATGAGACTACCGCGCATCCTTTTCATTCTTAGAAATACAATGATCCTTTATTGATTCTTGAGTTAGAGAAAATTCATCTAGGATATTCATCTAAGATATCAGCTTTCACTCATTTTGCTTATGCAATCAACTTCAACATTATTAGCATCTTAAGTGCTGTGGTCTTTGCTCATCTTCTGATTCATCCAATAATTGTGAAATTTCTTGTCAGTTTTCTTCTCTTTACCATGATAGTCAAAAGAAAACTCTAAAATCTCAATGGTGTTCAGTGAAAGCTGAAAATAGACTATAGGAAAGGTGCCTCTAGATTTCTTTGATATCTTCCTGAAAGATGATGCAATATTTTGAACAAAAAGCAGTAAGAACATGTTGTAATAGCTATGATTTATTTCACAATTACATCATCTTTCTAGGCAATTCCAAACATTCTTCCATTTTATTGTTTAAGTCGTTTTAGCAAACATATTTGGGGATAACTGATGAGTAATAATGCAATCCATCATTATGGATGATAACATGTTTCAAAACACAGGAAAGGTCAGTAAATATCATGTTAGACTTATACCTTTTATACTGCTTTACATTTTGTGCCTTTAATAACCCTTATGCCTTTTATAAATCTAAGGGTTTAGTTATACCAACATTAAAGCTACATGATTGCCAACTTGAATGAGTTCTATAAAATGAGCTTTATCTTATACAAATATAACTATTTTTTCTCTTTTTCTTTGGAAGATCACCAAGAAAGAATATAAGTCATGAAATATCAATTTTATAAGTCAACTCTCAAAAAAGAAACTCAAAAATTAAAATTCTACTCTGATGGCGTATACCAACAGTTAAAGTGTGCTATCCAAAATTGAGAACATTCCAAGGTTTGGTCAGAACAAAAAAAGCAGGATTATTACCTGCATCATGCCAGGCTTTTGTCAGCACAGTCCAAGACTCAGTAGATTTTAGGGAAGCCTCATCACACTCTTGACTCCTATTGAACTCATTATTGAACTCTCCACTCATTTTCACCTATTATTCTATAAAATTAAGACTGCCTATGCAGTATTTGGGGGACAGTTGACTTCTCAGCTGGACTTCTAATGCGGGGCTTTTTATTTCTCTTAGATTTCATTTTATTAGATTTACCCATTATTCCATCCTGTCATATCTGATCCTGATTTATCTTCAAACATGTTTGCTATCCTTCCTAGTTTTGCAAATTCACCTGGCATGATATCAATATTTTCCAAGTCAGTAATAAAAGTTGTTAAATAAGCAGAGAGTTCTGTGACACAACACCCCTTCCACCCATTGACACCAACCAATTAATTAGTTTCAGTGGATCTTACTGTTTAACAAGTTATGCAAAACACTTAACTAACATTCAGACTATATACTCCCTTTATACTCATAGGTATATAATCGGAAATTTCAACAAATACCACACTGAAGTCCAGATTCATGTAATTTCCCAACCCACCATTTTAGGATTCTCATCAAAAAAGGAAGTCATTGTAAGACCTAATGGGCACTCAAGACCAAAAGGGACGTCAGATACCATCTGAATAAATCTTTTTTTTCTTAAGAGAATTTAAGCAATTTTCCAAAAATAACATAGGTAGTGAATAGTATAGCTGATTGATTATTTTTTAATAGTTTTTGAAAAGGTTACATTAAAGAATCTAATACTTAATCTGCCACCTGTGTTTTCTATGTTCAAGATTTGGCTTTTAATTTATGTCTAATAATGTGCCAGTAGAAAGTATCCAAGCATTTCAAGCAAAAATTTTAATTCAAAATTGGTCATCATGATAGTCCAAATAATTTAACAAAGTGAATATTGATTTATTTAACATACATACATCAAGTGCTTACTGTGTATTCAAGGCATATATTTCGTGCTTGTAAGTATAGAAGTGTTTATGAAAATATTGTAGTAATCAAAATCAGAAAAAAATCTTAGAATTATATGAAATAAGTATAATATGAGAATGAATGAAGTTATATCTTAAGCATGTTTATAACATTAAATAAGTTACAGAATGCTTTTATACACATTATCTCATTTAATCCTTATAGTAATCAAATGAGAAAGGTCCTCCTGTCCAAATTTTACAGAAGGGTAAAATAGACCTGAAAGAGTTCAAGTAGTTTGCTTAAACTCAAAACAGCTACTTAGTGGTAGAAGCAGCAATCTGGACTCCAAGTCTGATGTACTCCAATGTAATATTGTTGCCTCGGGATACAATGCCTTTTAAAAATTGTCCTCTAACAGCTAATTTAGTATTTTCTTGTGTCAAGATTTTAGTTCTAGTCTGTTATGAAGAATTGGTTATACACTACAGCAAGTAGAATTCATGCCAAACTTCAGAATGATTAGAAAAACACATGTGATTTAAAACCAGCAATATTTATTGTATTGTATTATTATAAAACACTTGTGTACTTGTAGATTATCCTGCTAAAAAAAAGCATTGAAATAAATTCTTAGGAAAAGTTTGCCATCTTAACCTTGGAATAAGTATAACCAATCTGTAACATATAATTTCAATGAACTCTCAGTATAAAGACTTCTTTTCGATGGATATGATACACTTAATTTTTTTGGAAAATAGAAAACAGGACAAAATAGGCCTTAAAATTAGCAAGCTTTTTTTGTATTTTTCTGACCTTCTACAGAACTTTAACTCATCAGGTACTAAACTGATGAAAAAAATTATTTTAAAGTTATATACAAGGTTTAAATACAAACCTGTGCAAATTATTAACTAATTTATTTTACTGTTTTAAGGGTTTAGGCCTCTTTTGATTTAAACAATAATAGATGTATTAGGAATGAAATTGCTTTTCTGATTTCTTAAAACAAAAAATGTCAGATTCCCATACAATAAGTGCTTGTGTATTCCATCCCCAAATAGGAGATTTCAACTTACAAAAGTTTTCATATGATTAAATAATGTATCTTTGCACTTTATGTTTAGTTTCAAATACGACAGCAGTCAAAGAAGTAGAATTTGGGATGTGCACTGTTACATGTGGTAAGTAGCATGGAGCAGATAAATAATGTTGTAATTTTGGAGGGAGGGAAAGTAAAAACAATGTGCGAATTTTTATTTGTAACTTGTATACTCTCACTCATCTCTCATTGATCTCTGTTTCTAGTAAGTATAATTTATACACAAAACTCAAACTGATTGCTTTAAAAGGTAGGATGTTTTCAGTTCATGCTTCTAAGCTTTATTTTAAGCCAGCTCCCTGTAATTTTTTGGCACATAAACCGCCTTACCAAAGTAAAATTTTCTCTATCTCACAGATGTTCAGAAGATGAAAGATCTGATGCATCTCACAGATGTCTTCCCACATTCTGTGTTGGCAAATCTGTCAAGAATTTACTTATTTGTAATAGTCCATTCTAAATTCTACATTTCTCCTATTTATATGTCATGTCTTTGAGAAAAGAGGTATTGGCTTGCTGGGGAAGATAATATTCAAAGACTATTACTTATTTTGATCATTCCTTGAATAGAAATTGGACATAAAATTTCTTACAACACGGGGGTGGGGCTTAAGGCTATGTACACACGCTCTAATAGACCAGTGTTTTTCAAACTTACATGCTCTCCCTAAACGCCTAAAGGGCTTGTTAGCACAGATTGCCGGCCCACTCCAGGGTTTCTAGCTCACTAAGAGTTTGTGTTTCTAGCTCACCAAGAGTTCGTGTTTCTAAACAACTTCACAAATGAAGCTGATACTGCTGGTCAGAAGACAGTCTTTTAAGAACCATTTTGAGAACCACTGTAGCACGCTGAGAAGACAATAGATAAAACACAATGAAATTAAGTTTATTCCAAACAGAACCTGACTAGGAAAAAAAAATAGTGGGAGGGAAAGACAAAAACCAGAGAGAGTAAGAAGACAGAAAATCCATGCAAACCTAGATCAGATTTTTTTTTTCTTGGTTAAAAATTATACTTGAAGTGTTTCTACTTTAGGAAGCATTTTTCTATTCTGGTAAAATATAACTAACATAAAATTTACTATTTCAATCATTTTTAAATGTACAATGCAGTAACATTAAGTTTGTTTGCATTGTTCTGCAAACATTACCACCATCCATGTCCAGAACTTTTTCATCTTCCCAAAGTGAAACCACATCTCCATTAAACACTAACACCCCACTCCCAGCTTCCCCCAGCTCCTGGCAACTATGACTCAACTTTCTGTTTGTTGAGATATTTTTAAACCTGTTTTTTACTTTACCCAATCAGAGTCAGAAAATAAAAGGAATCCATGTAATAAACCTGTGATTATTCATTTGCAATTTGTACTTTTTTTGTTGCTTATTTGAGAGATTTTCACAGGTAGAGAATTATTTTTATGACGTTAGTAATTTATATTGTCTTTATCATTTAAAGATGTGTTTCAGAAACTATATTCATTCAACAAATTATTTTTCTGTTTTTTGTTTGTTGTGTGTATATTTTTTGCCTGCTGTGTGCCAGGCATTGTTATAGGTGCTGGGAACAGAGCAGTGAACAAAGCAGAGGAGACTCTTTGCCTTCAAGGGGTGTATATTTTAATAGGGGCAAAGAGATAAGTAATATATAAAACAATATGTCAGGTGGTATTAAATTCTAAGGAGAAAAAATAAACCAGAAAAGGCAATATTTCACATCTAGTTTTCAAATATTTTTAAATGTTTTCAACTTAGAACTATTTGAAGGAAAAAAATGCATTAGTGACAATTCTGTTGAACTCCCATAATAATGTTTTAGCAGTCAAAAGTTTTCCTGGAATACTTTAGGTGTTACTTGGACTTAGAGAAAATGATACTTACATATATCATAGCAATGAACTGTATTTGGCTAAGTAAAAAAATTCATAAACACCTACTTGGAAAATATTTGTGCATTTCAGAATAAGGCTGTGCTTCTGGAGAGGCAGCTTTTATAAATACAAGTGGAGCCATACTACAGCCATTCTTAGGCATCTGTCTTAATCAAAAGAGACCTTTCCACTTCCAGCCTCTCATCTTCTTATCTCATATGGGGTCCTTTTCCTTGCTACTCAAAGTTTAGTCCACAGACCACCTTCCAGCATTGCTTGGAAGCTTGTTAGAAATGCAGAATATCAGGACTCACTCCAGACCTACCAAATCAGAATTTGCATATTCAGAAGATCTCCAGGTGATCTGCATGCATTCTTAAGTTGGAAAGTTCTGTTGTAAGCCATTTGTAGACTCCAAGTTTCTCTGGGCCTTGAGAAAGGGTTTTATGATTAATATCTTGTAGGGGCTGAAAGAGGGAATCTGGTAGACGAGGAAGTCAAGATGCACTCTTCCTTAGTCTGTGACTACACGGTCTTATCACAGGTCATTTATCACAGAACATGTTCAGCATGTCGCTGACCCAGCCTTTATCGTCTCCCTCAGTTCTGTGATGAAAGGCATACTCAGTGGAGATCTGCGATCAGTTAGTAAAGACTTGATTTCTTGTTACCAAAAAGTGTGGCAACTCTAAAAACAGTATCCTGTTAGAAATGGAGATTCCATTAATAGTTTGTCCTGCTGTATTTAATATGAAACTTTACCAATGTAAATGTTAAAAACAATCACTTATGTTAAAATGTGGTTTTGGAATTCCCTCCAAAAGCTCTGCTCTCCCCACTTCTAAAAGTTCCATGGTCAAATAAATTTGGGAAATCATGTGCACTCCTATTATTTAATCAAATCTAAGAAGCACATTTTATGCATCTCTGGAAAGGAAAAATGTTGCCAATTTCTGACATGTTGTCAATTCTGAGATGCATTCTGATTTCAAAGATGTTAAAAAAATGTAAAAAAAAGATGTCAAAAGATGTAAAAAAAAGTTACATCTTGGATCAATGAAAGTTTACACACAATAGTGCATTAATTTACTAGCATATTAAAAGTTTCTCCAAAGTCCATATTTAAGAGTTGCCTTTAATTTTATTTAATGTATCATTTTATAAAGTGTATAATCATGGAATCCTCTTTCTTATAGTAACAACTAAAGGAACTAGTGCTTCATATAACTCACTTTGGGAAATGCTGTTTTTGAAATAATTAAAAATGAAAGGCCAAAAAATGTCTACATGTTGTCATCCTGAATTTAGGAATTTCATTTCTGAAATTAAAATATCTCAAAAAAGCCTAGATGAATAAGGAAACTCTGAAATTAGTTTTTCTTAACATTTGCTGATTTCTTTTGCCAAAGGTATTGGTATTAGAGAAGTTATATTAACAAATGGATGCCCTGGAGATGAATCCAAGTGTATCATACGGGTGGAGGAATGCCGTGCGCCAGTGGACTGTGGCTGTAAGTTGATCTCTGTATTGGAGGGATACTGAGGGCAAGGGTTTACCCTGGGGAAATGTCTTTAACCTCAGGTTGCCACACCTGGAAGGAGGTAATACTGAAAGTAATCTTAATAAAACACTTTAAACAGTTTTAGTCCCTAGTAACTTTCTGCTTTTGTTACACATTTTTCACTGATGTCTAAAATTTAACATATCTTCTGTGTAATACACTGGAACCTTATTGTACTCAGGGTCTGTGGCCAAGGCGGTACTATAGTGGAATGCTATTGACACTTTGGTCGACATTTTGTGAGTAGGTTGATAAACCTTAAACTGGGAACTTTGAGAACTGTTTTATATCGACCTACACTACTCTTGAGATTTCCTTATCCTTAAGGGGGTTCTTGACTTGTAAATTGGAAGCCACTCATACATCTCAAAGTTTAATGGCTCACTAAGCTGATTTCCTGGCTGTACTTCTTTTCCACAATTTATTCTGGTGAAGCAGCAGTCAGCTATGGGTCTCCCACCTGCTTCTTTGGGTGACTTTATCTGCATTCATCACTCCTCTCTGTTCCTCTACATTCAAACTCTTAATAATAACTTTGCTAACTTCCAGAACATAATTGATTCTAAAATCAAAAGCAGCTTTTAAAAGTAGCATTATGTATAAAGCAACTTACAGTGCCTAATGGTATATATGCATTTAATTTTTCTTTTTTTCAGGGGGCAAACCAATTTCAGAAAGTCTTGACAGTGTTAGACTCGCATGTAGTCATACATCTCCCATAAATCGTTTCAAGTATGTTTGGAAGCTTCTCAAGCCAGACCAAGTGAGTAATGAATGTATGTAACTTGGTGCTTTCTAGTGAGTAATACAATTTGTTTCCCAGTGCTTGATGACTATCTGAACACTTTCTCTTTAAAAGCAATTTGCAAAAATGAAGTTAAAAGCATACAGCTTTATTATTATTAGAATTTTATATTTTTCCATTGTTAATGAGGCTAAGACGATATATTTCTTAGGGTCAGCTATTATCAGAATTTAGAAACATCCATTTTGTATAGAGTATTCTATTGTAGAAGGGAGGTCTCATTTGCATAACAGAGGAGTTGTATAATGGTAACAGTAGCTAACATTAATTGAGGGCTGAGTAAGTGCTGGAAATGCATGGAGTGCTAGAGTTTCTTTTAACCCACATAACAATCCTGAGGTAATTCCTGTTATTACACCCATTTTACAGATGAGTTACTGAGATGCAGAGGGTAAACTGTCCTAGGCGACACAGGCAGGAAATGGTAGGTTTGGTCCTGGATGTCTGGATTGTCTGACTCTGAAACGTACATATGTGATTCCTGTCCCTGACAGATGGATAGTGATTCTTCTTCTGATATGGGAAATAAATTGCTTCCAACCTTATGCTTCCATGAATAATGTTGATACTTCTATTTTTCTTTTTAAATAGCAACCCGTTATACTTTCACATGATTCAGCAATCATCGAAGTAACCAGGGACATTCACCCCTTGGCTTTCCAGTGCGACACCTTTGATAATAATGAAATAGTAGCATCTATTAAATTCACAGTCTATACAACAAGTGGTAAGTGCCAAGCCAAGTTTTAGTTTAGTTACATCAAACTTTAAAGAGCATCAAAATCACCTGGAGTGCTTGTTGAAACACAGATCTCTAGTCCTGTTGGGACTAGATTTGTGTTTGAACAAGCCCCAACCCCATTTTCTGATTCAGTAGTTCTCTGGTGGGACTGGCACAAGACTGCATTTCTAACAAGTTCCCAGGTACTCCTGGCTAAGAGACCATATCTAATTTTGAGAACCACTGGTTTATATTATTTATTCTTTTCTACAAGGTAGTCTCAATTTCTTTTTCACATGGAGTCAGATGTATCTCACTTTGGGAACCTGTTCTATTCCTGACGTATCTCCAAAGAACAGTCCTCTAACTTGAATTATCTTCTTTATTACTTCTGTCACAAAAGTGAAAATGGATACGTGGAGTTCTCATGAATGCTAAGTAAAATTTTGGTACAGTGATGTCATAAAGAAAGATTAAGAAACATTATGTAAAATCATGTCTCTTTAAAAATTACTCATTTGAAGAAAATATTTTTTGATGGAACAATGCAGTTCTTAATATATGTCACAAAAGGCAAATCTTGTCCTGAGCATAATTTTACATGTTAGAAACTGTGCTTCCCCTGAAAAATGAATCAATGTGCATGTCCTTTGAATTTAAATTATGATGTCTAATATATCCAAATGATTATTTCCTTTTGATAAATTGCCCTTAGCCATTTTTACTATCATCTGTGTTAAGAGCTGGGGAGGGGTCTGGTCTCAGTTCTTGTAAGAATCTAATCAAGACTCAGGAACCTTTTCCCAGAAAAATGCCCACATGTACAGACATACCAAAAGGCATCTGTAATTTTAAGGGAGTTCATGGATTTCTTGAAGCTTTTTTCAATCACAAGTAAAAAATTTATGCTATAGTCTTGAGATACCACACAACATAACACCCTTTACTGAAATGAAACAAACTGTTCAGGGGATGATTTTAAATAATAAAACATTTATAACTTTCTTTGACATGTTGTTTAGTATCTTTAAAAAACATTGCTATGGTGAAAGCTAATAATCTTACTCCTATGTTGGGATATCAGATGCTATCAAAAGGATAATTCCAATAAAGTGCTATAAAAAAGCAAAAAAGGACCAAACATTATGAAGAAAAAATTTTCCATGAGCCCTAGTGTAGGATATAAAAGGTTTCAGGGGTCACTCTCAGTTTTTGTCCCCACAGCCTGGCTCTTGTTAGGACTGACCAGTGGTTAGTTCTTCCCGTGATTAGAAGGCAACATGAATTTGTTAGTCTGTGAGCTAAGGGCTGGAACAGGCCCCAAAATGTTAGCACTTAAATGAGACAGAGTTGACTTCTCTCTCTCCTAGAGGCAGTCTGGGGCTGGTGGGATAGCTCTGCCAACTCACTGCATGCACTGGTTAATTGACAACATGTTCTCTGAACACTTTGGCATTAGTTTCTTTTAAAAACGACAATTGGGTACACCACTGCAACAGACCTTTTTTGGTTTAGTGAAAATTTCCCAACCATCCCCTTATATATCAGATTTTTCACTTCTACAATAGTTGTCTTTCAATAATTAGGCATTATTATGGATTGAATTGTGTCCACCTAAAAAAATACTCATGTCCCAACTTCCAGAACCTCAGAAAGTGACTGTATCTGGAAATAGGATCATTGCAGATGTAATTAGTTGAGTCAAGATAAAGTCATACATGCTAGAGTAGAGCAGACCTTTAGCCCAGTATGACAGGGGTCCTTCTAAGAAGGAAATTTGCACATGGACACACAGAGAGAAGACACAGACACACACGAAGATAACATGTGAAAATGGAGATTTGAGTGATGCTGCCAGAAGCCAGGGAACATCTGGGGCTGCCAGGAGCTGGAAGGGGAAAGGAAACATCCTCCCCAGAGCCTTGGAGAGAGCGTGGCCTTACCAACTCCTTGTACTCACTTTTAGCCTCCAGATCTGTGAGATCATAAATTTCCGTTGTTTTTAAGTCACCCAGTTTGTGATACTTTGTTACGGTGGCCCTAGAAAACCAATACAAACATTAGTTTTTATGAAAAGGGAGCACTGAAACTCAGCCTTCATTAGAAAATTTTAATAGGAAATGCAGCCTGTTTCTGTATTAGATATGAAAGAAATCTAAGCGATCTTTTCAAGAAGACTGCAGTTGAAATGAACTAAAATCTTCGTACTCCTAGTCTCTATCCTCTCTTGGTTAATATTGCAGAATAGTGGATAAATGGAAAGGAATTTTGCATTTCTCCTTCTCAGGTTTCAATCCTAAAAGGTATCTTTTATTTGAGCTTAAACAATTCCACTGCTTCTATAAATCTAAAATTATCAAAAATAAAAACATTTTTAAAATCCAACAATGTTGGAATGTAAATATGATGTAATTTCTCTACATACTTATTTAGTGAGATCACTATATTGAATTTATAGCTCTAGAACTAGCAACAAAAATGAAAAATTATACTCCATGGTATTTAAAGAGTAGGAAGAAAATCCAGACAAATAAGCAGTTGAGATTGCCCGTACAGGAAACTACTTCTGATAGAGTGGTACTTACCAAAATTAAAATATTTAAGTATAAAATATAGCTTGCACAAATCATTAAACCTCTCTGAATGTTGATATGCTTATCTGTATAATTCAATAGCTTCATCAGATGATCTCTCTAGTCCTTCCCCCACATGAATCTTTTATAATTTTGTGATTTAGGAAAGCCACACGAAGACTATGTAATTCACGAGTAATACTTGATGTAAATCAGCTTTTCAACTATTTCACCAAAGAACAGAAAGATAGGGGAGAAAATGTTTGATTTAAAAGTGGTGTGCGATATTTGTATGAAAAAGAAAAAGAAAGAGCTTCCTCTGCCTTATAATATATACAAAACTTAGGAATATATCATAGTCCTAAATGTAAAAGCTAAAACTATAAAGCTTTAATAAGGAAACATAGGAGAATATCTGCATGATTTAGGAGGAGGCAAGGGTTTCTTGGATATGACTCAGGAAACAATCACCATAAAAGGAAACATTGATAAATTAGGCTTAATCAAAATTTAAACACTTCAGCTCATTAAAAGAAGTCATTCGAAAAATGAATAGGCAAGCCAAAATCTGGGAGAGAAAATTCACAAAGCATGTCCAACCAGTCCAATCAGTTTGGGAAAAGATCTTACAGTTTCTTGGAAAACTAAGTGTTCCCCTACCTTATGATCCAGCAGTTCCACTCACAGGTATATATCCAAGAGAAATGATAATGTATGTTCACAAAATGACTTGTACAAAAGTGTTCATAGCAGCTTATTTATAATAGCCCCAAACTGGAACAGCCTAGGTGACATCAGTAGGACAATGAATATACAAATTGGAATACTATTTAGTAATAAGAAAAAATCGGTGGATACATGCAACAATATGAGTGAATCTCTAAAGCATGCGGAGTAAAAAAAAAAGCCTTGCACAGAAGAATAAATAGTCTATGCTTCCATTCCCATGAAGGCAGCACTAATCTATGGTGGAAAAGAAAATCAGGGCAGTAGTTGTCTCTGAAGGATGGGGCCCAAGTTGTGTTGAAATGCACCAAAAAAATAAGATGGATCAGTGGATTGATGGAAGGCTGGATAGGTGGATAGCAAAATGCAGAAGGTGGTGTATAAGTGGTGGGAACCCAGGATGTTCATTGCCAAATTGCTTCAACTTTTTTGTGTGTTTGGAAAGGACATTTCCAATGTACAGAACAAGTTCATTAATCACTTTCTTCCCAATATTTTTGTCTGTATTTTTCTAGAGTTGTTTTTCAGATATAAACTTTCAATTCAGATTTCCATTTCTGTTTTTTTTTCCAGTAGTAATAATCATCAGGTGTGTGTTTTTTTCTGTAGAGTTGCAGGTGAGAAGATCAAGCCGACCAGAAACTGATGCAGTCCTAGTGTTTGTGCTGACCATTGGAGTCATTATGTGTATATTCGTGATCTTTATACTGATCTTCATAATTATAAACTGGTAGGTGGAAGACTGGAACTTAGTCATCATTCTTGATTGACATCCTCTTTGTCTGCCCTTCCCTTTTACAGTGAATCCACAGCCCTATTCATGATGCCTCCCACATGGTTCTTAAAACTGTCCAAAACCCTTCCTTCCTCTAGCCACCATCCTAGTTCAGGCTACCTAATGTTATGACTTGCTTCCAAGCCATAAGAGAGCTTAAAATGCAGTTTTTACAATTTTACAGAATAGTTGTTAAAAAAAAAGTTTATTGAATAAATTTTGTATTGTCCAAACTCTAAAACTTACTGTAACCTACTAATTCATTGATATGAGAATGAGAATATTTCTAATACCTACGTGAGCGTCATACCCTGATAGGTCCCTCTGAGGGCCCATCTGCTACATCACAATACATCACAAACTAAAATCATGTACAAGAAGGCATGTCTATATCTAAATAAGTAAATATAAGTCTTAGTTTTAGTTTTCATTTCATAAGAGATATTTTTGTTTTTGTTTTTGTTTTTGCTTATCCTCCCAGGGTGGCAGTCAAGGCTTTCTGGGAGACAAAAGCCTCAACAACTGACATACAATCTGAGCCGAATTTAGTGAAATACAAATATACCACTTCTCTTGACCAGTCACCCACAGAAATACGTGGACGTGAAGATGGTGCTTTGGGTGAATGGAATGAATGATCTACAGATGATATGTAACAAAACAAAGGATATTAGAGCATATCAGATGCATTATTATAAAAATAAAATATATAGTGAAACAGTTTGATAATAGTGTACATGACTTACCATAGTCTGAACGTAGTGCAGTATGAGAAGGGGCTGTTTAGGTTCAGTGCATCTTTCTGGTGGTAATTATCAAGAATTATTTTTAATTCTCAACATTTACAATTTCAGATAATCACTTGGTAGCATTTATCTAGACACACACACACACACACACACACACACACACACACACACAGAGTCTTCTAAAAACAATTTGATCAGTTCTAAGGTGATTTTCCTGTTCTGTCCCAAACAAGAAAAACGTGCCTTGCATATCAGACTTTCTCCCCACCGAGAGCACTGGATTGAACTTGCTGGGGCACTCATACTTCAGAATCTCTGCAGGGCATGTAACACACAAAGCAGCCCTTGTAAGAGATGAAGTAATAATAACAACTATAATAACCAGCACCTAGTCAGGGACTACCATGTGCCAAGCATTGCTCAAAGCATTTCACATGTACTCGGTAATTTCATTATGATTGTATACAGGCTACATATAAAGAACAACTGGGGAGGAGCTTGGAGGTGGCTGAATAAATGACATGAATTTAACATGCCCTTCATTTCTCACAGAAAAACAGTCAAAGACTTTTGAATGGCTATTGATAAGTACCTTCACTGTGCTTGGAATGTAGGCAATAACATCTCAAAACTTAGGTACTCATTTCTGAATATTATCACTGCCTTTTTGTGCTGTGTTATTATGTGATATACTTATAGGCAATTATCAATCAAGGTAGCAAAGCATCAGATCATTTATTTGGTTTAGCAGATTCATCAGAAATTAATTCTGAGAGGTTATGATAGTGGCACAAAATACATTTAACTGTTTATTTAGACAAACTCTAGGCCAACTTTATTGCTTTCATTATGGAATTCATCTGATGATAGCATTAACTTTGCACATTTGTGAAAACATCGTAAATGCGCATTTATGGCATACCTCTCTCTAGTAGCCTAGAAATCGGCTGCCCAGAGTTACCCGTGCTTTCTGTTTTAAGCATTTGTATTTGAAAGAAACAATCAAGAATTGGCTAGAAAACTATTTTGTTATCTGCTGGGGGAATTCCACTAGAGACTTTAAGTGAAAAGAAATTGTTTTAATAAAATCTTCCAAAAGAATAGCTTTTTTGTGACACCTCTAATCCCCCTCAGACAAGTATGAAAAAAATATCATCCTTCCACATATTATTTGTGATTAAGTATGGTCATGCAAGTTTAGCAAAAGTGTTAAACATTCCCAAATAGTAATTATCATCCATCCTTCTTTTTAAAACCATGAGCAGCAGGGGTGTCCACTGTACTTCAGTGACCACTGATGTTCAGTCAGGTTAACAGGTTTAGTGCGGCTCACCAAATATTTCTGGTTGTCTCCTTTCCAGGCATGTGGTAGGACCATGAGTTGTAAGCCAAAATTCCAAATTTCAGGCTAGGCCATCTCACTGTGGAAATATGCAGAGCTCACAGTGTCCCTGCTGGAGCATCCAAAAATGCTTAGACGGTGACTGCTCTCACCTTGGATCCCAGAGCGAGGACTGCATGGAACAGGATCTCCAGTAAGCCAGCAGTGGAGATGTAGCACGAGAGAGAAGGAAACCTTGTTATTTTCAGCCTCTGAGGCTTAGAGGTTGATATAGCAGCCTTCTTAAGGCTATCCTGATTGGCACATGGATGTTTTCTGAAGAATAAGTTTCCATGGTCAAATGAGTTGAAGACTTCTTCAGTGTAGGGCTTCCCATCAGTGTGATATACACACTGTGACTCTTCAAGAGGGTAATATAGGTGCAATATATCCCAAACGTATGGGTGGTCTTTGGAACAAAATTGAAAGTGTGCATGAATGTTAATACTACATCAACTCAGAAATACACTTTAGAGAAGGACTGCCTGAGTGGTCTGTTTATGAGGAGTCAGGGCTGAGTGAGCTAGGCTTTCATACTGTATAACACAGCAAATCAGCAGTGCACCTTAACAATAGTAGCATTTTCCCTCTTAGATATCTGGGTGTTACTTAGACCTTTTACTGGTCCAGACCCATCTTGATGGCCTTTCTTGAAATCATACTACTCCCAAGACCAGGGGCTCCTCCTCTCTTAAGTACGGTGACCACACGGCTTAAGGTTAAAATAATCAACAAACCTTATATTGAAGTAGATTATACTATGCTTCTGAGTTCCCTGAAATCACTCCAAGTCTCACGAAGACAAGACCCTCTGTCGTTTGCCACTTGGTTATAGTCTGTGTATGGGGTACCATGAGCTCTCCATTGCACAGCACCAAAGATTAATAGGGCCAGTCCCTTCCCTCTACAGGTAGACTAGGCCAGAAGCCTCTTCTAATTTATATCTACTCTTAAATTCCAGGCATCTGTTACTTTTCCTGGTCACCAAAATATCTACAGGGAAAGCCATGGAGTTTGCATCTGGATGCAGGAAGTAAATAAAACCAAACAATTATATGTCAGCAAGAGGCCTTCCTGTTAGTCCCCAGGGCACTGGTCTCTGCATATGCAACAGCAGGATTTTGTGAAGTGTTCATACAACACCCTACTAATCAAAAGAATCCTTCACTCATCCTTTCAGTCAACAAACATTCTTTGAGCTATTCCTGTGATCCAGGTACTATACTAGGCACTAGGAATCCAGTTGATGCAAAAAATAAAAAAAGATAATATTCCTCTTCCTTTGGAGTATGTCAGTTACTCAAGACACAGAAATTACAATTAACCACAACCAGCTTGAATATATTGAGGGTTCTGTGAAACTGTAGCAGGGAATGACATTTAAGGAGTCTTAAAGCCCGAATAGGTGTTACTACCCTGGTTAACAGGGAGGAGGACCTAGGCAGAAGGAGATGCAGTTGTGAGGATTCTGAGTCAGAAAGGAATATGACACATCCCGAGAGGAGGCTGGCTGGGCTGGAGTGTAGAGAAAGGAGAAAAGAGTGGTGGTAGATGAAGCTGGAATTGTATGCAGGAACATGTGAGATGTATGTGTGTGTGTGTGTATGTGTGTGTGTGCGCATATACATATAAAGTAGCTAACTGACCTGAGAATACATATCAAAGGATTCAGTGTTGAAATTCATACTCCTGATTTCTTGTCTATACCATATTGACCCATGCCTTCCTGGAGTTCATTTATTATTGGCTTTTTTTACAGATGATGATTGTTGATATTTACATAGATGAGGTAGTCTATGCTTTAATCTGGGTTTCCTTGAGTTCTACCTAAATGTAAAATCCATTAATTAGACTTTAATTCTCTTTCATAACCGTTCCTAATTCACTCTCATATTACACAGCTAGGACTTAGATACAGGAACTTAAGAGTTGCTAGCAGTGACCAGGATTGTGGGCATAACTGGGTCAACAGCAAGTGATAAGGTGGGTGACAAACATAGTTGACCATAGTTTTCTACAATCTAGACTTGACACGAAATGAAGCAGGTAACATTACTCATTCTGTTGAAATACATTCCTATTTCCATCTATTAACATATGCATAACATTTCAATTTAAAAAGTTTCCAGAGTGGCTCTAATATAATCTATATGCTCTCTGTGTCTGTCTTCTTGATCTCTTACAACTGATGTGATTTTTCTATTTCAGTTTCACTTTAATTTAAATCTACTCTTCAGTCATTTTTTTGTTACTTTCTGGAGGACAATCCTTTTGCAATTCATAACCCATCACTGCTGTGATTAGAAAGCTTGGAACCCATTTTACTTGGTTATTCAGGCTCTGAGGTTTGTATAATATTATTATCTGTGGCTGAGTCATTTATATGATGGAAAATAGTTTGTCTTTGACAGTTTTCTGATTCTTGTTGAAAATGAACTTGGATGTTGAATATCAAGGTTGTGTAGGGTTTTTTTTTTTACCATTTAAGGGAAATAAAACAAAAAGGAACATATGTTTCTTTGAATTCATCTTCCATATTTTGTTAAAATATCAAGTGCATTTAAATAAATAAAAGGTATTCAAGAATTTTTTTTCTTGGATAGAAAAATTTTAGGATTATGCAACAATCATTTAAATCATGATTTTACAGACATATATACTAATTTGTTATTTTTCTTACCTGTCTATATGTTTATAAATATAGATCTTATTTGAAATCAATCCTTTAGGCTCTATAGTGGGTATTTTCCCCCCAAAATGCAGAACCTTAGTATTTCGCTAAGTGAAACTTATATGAGCAAATGTTCAGAGGTAGTAATGCAAATTGTTGCTTTATATGATGATAATAAGATATGTCCTTGAGAAATGCTGCCATGATTGAGAAGATTTAATGCTCAGTTACCTATAATGTCCACTGATTTCTTTTTCACTCAGACATATTTTTGTGTGTATAAATTATTTGTTGAGGACAATAGACACATCACAACTTCCTTTCTGTACATTAATCTTCTCCCTTTTCTTGACAGATAACGTTTTTTTTCTCCAGGCATTACTGAGACAAAACTCCAAGTGCTTTTGGACACACTGGTTGGGTTTAAGCCCTCTCATCAAAAAGGCATTGTGAAATGTGTATTATTTATGCAGTATCCCAAGGTAACACCAACAAGTGCTTTACGGGGAACAGAAACCGTCTGACAGTAATGAAATCATGTTCTTCCAGAACAAACAATATAAGGCCCTAGAGGTAATAGAGACAGGAAAGAGTACAGTACAAGCAATACTCTCCTGTATACTCTGGGGGAAAGCAGCACACAGCATACAGTTATTAGAGCTAGCAAGCTTCATAAAGGAAGAGGACATGCTGGATTTCTTTGTGTCAGAAACAGGAGCTGTGTTGATGGGAACGATGTGGGAGGCCTGTGGGGGATGACAAGGTGTTGGTCTGAAGTCATGAGTGCCCGGATCTGAGGTTAGGATGCCGGAGTTGACAATGGGGCCAAAGGAAGGAGTGGGGTCGGGGTGTGTAGGAGGGATGAGGAAGAGCTGT